GAGAGAGAGAGAGAGAGAGAGAGAGAGAGAGAGAGAGAGAGAGAGAGAGGAAGAAAGATGCTGCTAAATTTAAAATATGCACGTCAACTTTAGAGAGTGCTTTACACAAAAAGTTGTAATTCATGACTTTCTTTAGATACATTTTCTAATTTATAATTATTAGATATATCATTTCCTCAACATGTAATACGTTAAAGAAGGATTTTGTAATGTAAAAAACTTTAATTATTCTTTCAAATTAACTCATGAAAAATTCTAAGTTATTTTGCAGAATTATCGATACTATTTCATGCAATATTTTATGACAAATTTTAATCAAAGTCATCTGTATCCGTTCATAACAAATCGATATGAAAAGTCGTGCTCTACACGCTTTGCCAACGTGCACGCGTCGATGATTGGAGCTATTCGCGATATAACGCACACTATCAAGCACGTCGAAATGATTTCCGGACGGATTCTTGGGTGATCAGCATGTCCGATTGATCACCACTTCCGTATGATTTATAGCTGGGATTATGCAACACCAGGCGTCAGAGTAAATCCATAGCGTTGCACAATGCGTACCAAATGTCAATGACAGTGTATCGGCATGCGCGCCGTATTTTCTCGATGTACAACGCTATGTTTTTTTCATCCGTTTGATGTACGCGTGTATATTGTATCCGTATCGAAAAAATAAAGCTGTTTATAGAACATTTACTCGATTTCGTAAATAAGTACAAACTCTATATATGATACTTGCAAGTCTATATTTATTCGGTTGTACTTACGTAATGAATTTTTAGTATTTGTGGCTATAATAACATGGTAAATAATTATAGTTAGCGTCGAGTGGCTCACCGCTCTGTGCGATTGACTCGCGATTTGTAGACCCGAGTTCAATCCCACGTGCGCCCAAACGCGATTTTTCGCGTTTAATGAGCCAAAAAATGGCTCCATCTGGTGATCAAAAGATCTATGATCATCAGCGCCGTTCGGATTCGGCGTTAAACTGTAGGTCCTATACATCAGTATACATATCAGTAGATATTTGTCTCTAATATCTGACTGAGGTAGGATTCTGTGGACCAATCACCCACAAATCCGAAAAACAATCTGATTCGAGAAACGAATATAGGCCTCGGACAAAAGAGGTCTATAGACGTCCTATGCTCCACATAAGGAGATAAAAGGAGTCGTTATCGTTAAATAATTATAGTTAGGAGCTCTATTTTTATAGTTATTACTGGTATAATGTTAGTAATTATATTTATAGCTTTATATATAAAAAAGTAAATATAGTTGTTCCCGAAAATAACGAGTATAATTTTATAGGTATAGATATAATTATTATTATGTCTATAAGTATAATTATTACTACTAACATTGTAGTAGTAATAACTAGGATTAGGTAGTAATGCCGTTTAAAATTACCATTATGATTTTTGGCAACATTGTTATATTTTTAAGGTAACAGTAACGTGTTTAGCCGTTATTTTTAACATTATTTTAATCCCTTATTATCTTTATAATCATTCAGTAAAATGTCAATTGTTTTTAATTGGCTAGAAATATTTTATAATTAATATTTAAGTATCAAAAAATATTTTGTACTTTATATCTTGATCTGCATTTTAATATTCGCTACTGAAAATTTGCGGTACATACGTTATGTAACGTGAATTCAATTATTAGCGATGAATAATTTCGTGAATATAATTTCTGCGATGATATTATATAAAAAAATGCCAATACTAAACCAGCAGGTTTATGCACTTATTAGGTATCTATTGTACAAGGTATTAATATATGTTTATGTGATGACCCTAATTTTGGATCATTATCAGTACAAAAAGATTAATCTACATATTAAAATTAATCTTTGTTAATAAAACAATGTGTTATATTCTAGAACCGTCGCAGAGCTTGTGAATGGGGTGTATGGTCAAAAGAACTTCATGTATTATATAATAACTTATCCAATTACAAAATGGTCAATAGTGATAAAGAACGAATGATAAGTCTTAATTTCAATTGTGTTAATAAATCATGCAGGCTGTCCATCTAACTCGATTGCATCAGTTTATTGCTTAGTTTGTTTATTCTGTTATTGTCGTTAAGATAAAATGTAAAATGTTGTGTTTGTGATATAATATATCATTCTTACATGGCAATAAATATGTTAATACATTAATAAATTTATAATCTTTTATAAAGGTAAGATCAGATCATTTTATTTTTATTAAAAAAAAAATTTTTTATAAAAAAAGAGGGAAACATATTTAGATCATATTGTATTGGATAAGCTAAAGTAAGCGATCTTAGTTACAGGCTTAATATAAGTTCTTTTTCTTTGTCTTGGCCTATATTTAGAGAAAAAAATAAAAAGCTATCATATTGTAAAATCTAAAAAGTATTAAAGTAATACGTTTAAATTCTTTTGGATCATTATTAATACAAAAAGGGTAACTTAAGCTTTACGATATTTTTCTAATTTTTTGCCAAGTCTAAAATTGAAAATTAATGATCCTATTCTCAAAAGAGGGACCCATTATGTTAATAAAAATATAAAATATTTCTAAATATTTATATAGGTGCAGTAAAGAAATATGATTAAAAAAATATGATTTGAATATGATTATAAATTTTCAATTTTGAACTCAGCAAAAAATTTGAAAAAATCGCAAAGCTTAGTAAGAGTAAGGGTCCGGTTATTTTCTTTGTATATTAATGATTCAAAGGGAATTTAAAAACGTATGTACTTTAATACCTTTTAGGTGTTAAATAATGAAATGGTATAGACACATGAATATTCTGTATTGGCTCAATATTAGCACTTTTTATCACACGATTAATTTCTTTTGAGACTAATTATTTCACTTGATAATTTCACGGGTGATGTAGTCGCCATATCATATAGGTCTTGTTGACCTCACATTCTTTTAAAGTCTGATTCTATCTTACGTATTCTTCTCAAAGTTCATAAGATTTCCATTCAGAAATCCGATTTCCGGGTTATATTAGTCCGCAGAGTCGTTTCGAGATCTTCGGATATTTTCGGAACGAATTTCACAGTATACCTTTAGGACATTCTTGAGCGTGCACCACTTTTCGATGTCGCGGCACAGATTCAACAGCGCGATGAACATTTCCGGTTCACTGACCTCGATCGTATCGTCGTAATCTGCATTTCTCGCACCGAAATCGCTGCGAGTTAACTAGGCCGAATAAATGTTCCAATATGACGAAATCCCGACTTACTATATTTACATGCGTGCGTGTAAGCTTGTATGGTGCATGTACGGTATGATTTTATACTAAAATTAGATAAAGAGTGAATATTTTGGGTCACGTCGGCTCGGCCTGTGTAACCTTCACATCGGAGAATGATACGAAATATATGAATCACAATATCGTTGGATTTATTAATTTGCTCTGTGCGCGAGCTACGATAACATCATATCTATCATGCGCGTAAAGAATTGAAACGTGCTTTTTAAGTCCAATATTGTTGCACGCGGGCCGAAAGCTCACAAAACGAGAGTTTATATATAGAATATCAGCGAATAGAAAAATCGCAAATTGAGTTCGGAACTTTTGCGAGATTTCTTTGAAGAATCTCGAGAACAGAGAATTACTCCGGCAGCGCAATGAAAAGCGATATTATACAATTAATAAATTGCTGTTAAAGATCGATGATAGAGAACTAAATATTTACAATATTTGAGGAGCAGACTTTCAAAATGCGTTTTGTACAAAATTTTATTTTGTTAATTAAAAATGGTGCAAGTGTTTCTTTCAATGTTGAAAGACTTATATTATCTTCTCTGACATGTTCAGGAAGCATTTTTTTCATCATCAATTTATGTACTGAAAAAATATAGACATTTCGAAGAGAGAGCATTATATTTTTTTAACTAGAGACAAACAAAATGCATTTGTTTAACATTTTTCACAGCAATTGTTCACCGTAATTTTGTTTAAAACATCCAACTAATTGACATTGTTATTTTCTGTAAAGTGCATAGTTTTCTTCTGTGTGTAGTTTTTGTTTTTCTCGTTTTCTCAAAATTACAAATTTTAAACAAAATGCATTTTAAAAGTTTGCTCTCCATTTTATATTTATGTAAAGTTAAGAGTAATTAGTAAAAGACAAACTAATATTTTGTGTAAAGGAAAAAGGCGTATGGAGAAAATTATTACTAAGAAAGGAGTATCGTGCGATCGATACTTTCAGCGTTAAATGCGGCGTCACAATCGCGTGAAGGGAAAACATTGCAAAAAGAGGCGTGAAAAAATTCGGGGCAATAATATTCAGCATATTCGTGCAGCCGATGAACGATACGATTATATTATCGTATTCCTACATTTCGTCGGTAGCAAGAAATTACGTGTTCGTAAATTATGCATGGCTTCGTTGCGAATAAAGTTGCATGACGCGGTAGAATGCCGAAATGGTAACAGCTGGTTTCAAGTGTTAAAAACTTTTACGTGACGTATACTATCTTATTGCTAGAGTTTCTACGTACATTATCTTATATATAAACGAACGTTCCGGAAATAACAGGAAAAGTTTGATTTTGTGCTTACGGATGTTCGAACGTTCCATATCAGTAGATACTGTTAGTGTTTTTTTCTTGCGAGGAAACAACGGTTCCTCGTTTGTTAATAAATGATTAGGGCTCGTATGGATCCGATATAAGACTGTTTGGTCGTATCAGCAGACAGATAAGCCGAAGCGGGCAATCTGAGTTACAGCGAGATCTGAGCTACATATATTATGAGTAATAAAGAACCTTAATAAGTTCTTTTTGTCTCAGACTTATTTAAAAAAAAAAAAATAACAGTTTTGAAGTTGTATAAAAGTGGCAACTGTACAAGTTTTACATGTAGAATTAATGTAAAATAAAATAATTTATTGAATTGTGTTAATTCTGAATATAAAACTTGTATAGTTATCACCTTTATACAATTTGACACTGTCTTTTTTTCGGAGTGTACATATGCCATTTTATGCAGTTCTTTTAAGTTACCCTGCAAAGGTAAAGATTTAAATGAATAATTCTACCAATTTTTTATACATGTGCTTAATTCTTATTATCCGTTATTTCTTTATTTTCTCACCCATTTATAGAATTTTTCGGAATAACGGTACTCGAACTTCGCGAACGGGGCGGATTTTCCAAGAGAAAGGTTTCTCTTCGTGATTTTAAGAAATTCGTCAAGCACGTCGAAAATGATTCACACGGGCGATTAAAATGTCGGAATCGTGATTCTGCGTTGTAATTCGAGGTAAATTTCCGCCGCACCGTCAGGATTCATACGCGCGTCGTTCGCGCGGCTTCCGTATTTGCATCGCCGCGGAAAATTTGAAATTCATGGTCCCAGCCGGTAGTCAGTGGTACCTCTATTCCAGAAGTGCAAAGAGAGAGAGAGAGAGAGAGAGAGAAACGGCATCATTGTTACCGGTTCTCGTTTATTTCGAGGGAGCCGTGCAATTACGCAATATTCATGTCCTCGCCGGTGTTTCTCGTCTGGCTGGTCAAGAAGGGGGTTGTCGAGAGGAACGGTCAGTCGACAGTAAAGAGAAAGAAACGAGCTTCTCGGAGGGATATTCTCGATGCGAGACGCTCAGTTTTGCGTATGAATATGCAGGATACATGCGAAATAAATTGTATACTAAATGACATTATAAATTATGTCAGAAATATTACAGTACATTAACTAACTAAGATACTTTGTGTGAGAAATTGAAATTTAGTTTTCTGCAATAATTGCCCATTGATAATAGCAATTATTAAAAAAAAGTTATTGAATTTACACTTTTCTGATTTTACAAAATTGCATATTACATTAACGGTTTATACGTTCTTTCAATTTGTTATAAATTTCGTATACTTGCGTATTTACTCGGATACGTTTCAATAGTACGGTACAATAGTTCATTTGCGGATTTCATCTTGCGTTCCATTGAAAAAGCTTGTGCATGCTCGATATTCAGAGATTTTGTTTCACATTCAAATACTCGGAGACTAGAGCTGCATCATATGAGAAAGATACGTACAATATTCGCGAATGATGTGTATTTTTCTCTTGTCATACTGTTTTTGTCCTTCGCCTTTTCTCCGTCTACGTATTGCAGGTGGATTTAAATAACCGTTCATTAGTAGTCTACATCTGATTAAATATTTTCATAATAATATTTGCGTGTAATTATATTATATATATATATATATATAGACAAAAGTATTGTCAACATTTTTTTCACAAATTTACAATTTATAATTTAATAATTTTTAAAAAATCGTCATAAAAATTTTATAATTATTATTTTTAACCTTATATTTTTGCTCTTTTTTGGTCCGTCTTTTTAAATTTAATTATTTTGACAATTTCGAGAAGGAATTAATATTTTATTGAAAAATACATATTGGCGAATACATATTGTATGCATTTTTTTTCATATGACGCATCCTTAATGTTCGAGTATTCGAATACGTCGATAGATTGTATTATTGAGATAGTATTGTAATTTAACCCACTTATTGTAAACATTTTTTTAATGGACGTTGTGTATTTATATTTTTTAAAAGAAAGGTATAAAAATTTTTGAAGATTTATTTAAGTATAATTTTTTATTCAAGGATGAATTTATTATATATTTATTTATTATACATTATGTACTGAAAAAAATGTGATTAAATCAACAAAAAGGTTAAAAAATGGCATTCTGACAGAATTTCCAATTATGATAAAAATCCCCTGTTGATCTCATTAGAATACTATCTTGTTAGGTTTTTTTTCTGAAAAAAATATATATTTTAATAAATTTTTACAATAGTTTTTTAATGCTCTTCTCTTTAAAATATAAAAATATAAAGTTCATTAATTAAGATAGTTTTTGGCACTGAATCATACTACATGCCTTAATTAATATTATTGCAATAAAATTTTTCTTTTAACATTTGTTTGCTCCACTCAATAACATTTCTTTGCATTCTGTGTTAAAAAGGAAGGATGATCGTGTGTATCGTTTTTGATTCGTGAAATCTCACCTTCACTTGGGAACACGACGACCTGGTTGGTTTTCCCGTAGAAGTTCTCTGCCGGTCTTTCTAAATCAGGTAGAAGCACATTGCCATTGATTACAGGTTGAGGCAAGGTCGACAGTGGCATCAAGATTTCAGGCGGCTTTGATAGTCGCAGCTTCTTCAGAATCTGCTGCTTCACGTACTCCACTCTCAGCTCAGTCAACAGTGGGTCGGGAACGATCACGTTGACTTTATTCTGCGCGCAACCGGTGCAGTCGTCCTCTTTGTTGAGCGGCGATTCGGAAGACGAATTGGGTAGCAAAGTGTACCATACTCTCATCAGGGGGTTCATATGCCATTGAGCTGCGATACCCCCTACGAAAAGAACAAAAAAGATTTCCCTGAATAGACGCATTTTTCCACCGCAATCCAGATGGAGCTGATTCTTCTTTAATTCGACTTCTTTAGTTTTTGATTTAATCACGTAGGTTAATCCGCTGATGATTTACTCGAGTTTAATTACGAGTTTAAACATCGAATACAGTTTATACGTTGATATTATCGTCATTATTTCGTTGATTGAGTTCAACATTAAATTCGACACTGAATTCAATTGGTAACCTGCATTTATAAATATCTTTAAGTATCATCGATCTTCATGACTTTGTAAATATTTAAGACAAATATTCAAATTCTTTTTCGATAATTCTCTGGTACGTGTATCAAGATATTTATAATACTTTCAAATTAAGATTTAAACTGGCGATTTCTGCATTTCTTTCTAAATTTCAACGAGATTGGCGCGCAATTTGCGAAATATCAATTTTATTGACAAAGTTGCAAAAGGTCAGGCAGGTCACCACAATCGCCGAGTCGATATCTCGTGAGATTGCAAACCACTTCGTTGATCGTGGCTTTGCTTTTTTCCTTTTTCTTCTCTTCACGTATCCTTATTATATTTCTTAAATTTCTCCATTCCAAACGTTAATCTGCGGAGAGTCGGTAATAATTTTCTTTTATAAATGCAAAGGAAGACGAATATCCGATCCTCGAGAACAATTCTCCTCCTCGTATAGTGACTGACGTTCTCGACGGCGCGTTCACGGAGACTGGAGGTGAATCGTTACGATGGTCCAGTGATGTAGTTGACTCCATATAGGCTGAACTTTGTTCCGCAGTCGCCAGGGCCAATACGGATCGGACGGGGACGAGTGATATCAGCGCAAGCACGCGCCGCGAACATGCTGCCGATGGGATTCCGTGTGGTCCATTGGCGGTTCCTGAAATCTCGAATCTGTCTTAATAGGCTGATAGACTGCAAGTCTATCTCCATTTTGATGGAAGGTGTCCCGCTCATTGATTGACATCTCGGTGAACCGTAAAAGATTATTTCACCCGATGAAATCAATATATCTTTTGGTATGTTAGTAGCGCTATTACGAAGGGAGATAAAATGTATACTAATGATGAAACGTCTTAAACCTCTTTCGTATAAAATACATACAGATGTGCGAATCATATGTTCTCCAGTATTGATAAACAATTTCAATTTCTACTTAAATTTCAAATCTCTTTCTATCACGTTAGTTTATATTTACATATTATATTTAATACATGTAGTTAAACAAATAATGTCTTTGTTAATATCATAACGGAATTAATTTTGATCGTCTTTCTGTTTCTCAGCAAGTTTGCTTAATAAGTTTTTGTAGAGAACTTTTTGTACTAACAGATATGCTTTTCACAAAAAATTTCTTTATCTTTCAATTTTGAGAAATTTCATTTTAAATTTCTTATATAATAACGCGAATTTGTCAGATAGAATTTTTTAAATCTTATATTTCTTTTTAATAGCTAAAAATATATAAATAAGAATCACTACTTTTTTTTTAGATATCGAGAAACAGAATTCTTGTGAATAGAACAATTTTCAATTTCTTTTTCTTCAATCGTTTCTTTCGATTTGTTCTCATTACTTTGCAAAGGATATAATAACATTATGTGACTGCACGATATAATCGATTTTTAATCATTTACACATTTGTAACGCACCTTTAACCAATGTTGAAGAATATTTATATCGCTTGATTGCATTCATTTGAGAATGAGAGCTTGTAAGGTGAATGTTTACCGCAAAAAGACTGATGTACGCTCCATGGCAGATTAATGTCAGCGTTTTCTTTGAGCTGAGGCTTGCAATTCGCGGTTCATCGGAACGCTCGCTTTGTGCTTCTCGTAGAAGATGACCTATCTCGCTGACCTGGAAACGCCGAATGTATTTCTTTTTTCATACGTATTTAAAGCATCGCAAAGTGCGATGAGTGCTTTTTGAGAGGCGCCGAGATTATTCATTTATCGAGTGCGACGTGTCATGATCTTTTTCGAGAGCGCCACTTCGTGGAGAAACATCGTAGCGTAAAATATGCTTGCACTTCGACTCCGCGCACTCGTGCCTTCAGTTTAATAAATCATACGATAACGGGTCTTGTAAAAATAAAGCAAAAAGGAGCAATCGCAAAAAAATACTGCGTTAAGCGCTTTATCGTTTCCTACTGTTCTTCGATATCATTAATAATTGTGGCAGTCATCGCTGTGTTTCGGTATTCGAGCACAGTTCTTTTTTACCTGCCGTTCTCGTCCCGTTGATCCATTGGACTTCATGGCTTGCAAATTAATACTCGGGTCCAGGGTATTGAATTATTCTGTAATTTATGCCGGACATGGCGTGTGTAATCAGCAGTTCGTGCACGCGGCGCTCATTTGTAAAATCGCTGCGCTTGTTTTGTGTTATCTTATTATCGGCCGTTATCGAAATATGTAATTTTTCGAACTGACGCACATAATTCTGAACTGACGTCATTATTCAAATAACATATATAATAATATTTTATACACGTCGTCTTATTGGGGAAAAAGTTCTACCTATTCAGCCGATAATATGGCAACGTGACAAATTGTGTCGATAAAATGTTGACTACGTTTTAAATGTAAATCCATAACTCTCTCCATATTTTTGGAATTACGCCCATACATTCATTTATGTTATGCGCTGGAGAGAGATTGCCAGGAAAATATGGATCAAATATATGTTAATATAAACAAACAGTTTTAATTTGAAGATTAATGCACGTATAATTAAATATTCTTTTATTAAAAACCATATATTTTCGTACATTTATCATGTTGGAGAGAAAATACTTGAATTTCCATAAATACGATAGATACCTCTCCGTTATTGCTTTCTAACATACAATATTAACATAATTACCTTATAATCTCGCAAAAAATGCATTGCAACAAATATATTACAAGTTCTTTCTTCGCGCGAGTTATCTCGAATTTTATTATAATACATGTTATATTCACGAATGTAACTTGAGTGAGGTCGTGATAGAATCGGGCAAACTTTTTACCGGAAACTTTCCGGACGAGGATTTAATTTCTGACGCGTATAATAATTTGCGATATTTAACACGTGATGTTGTCAAAGGTGGATTTGATGCGAACGGCCGTCAGTAGCAACGCGGAAAACTTTATTATTACGCAGACAATAGTAATTTAAAATCGTTGTTAGCTGCGGACCCGCGCCTTCGTATAATGAGTAACGATGAAACAATAATCAGCGGTGAGATAATTGGAGAACTACTCCTCGATGCGCAAATGGATGAAAGTTGATTGTTTTGTGGCGGTATCTGGTGCACGCGAAAAAATAATTAATTCAAAAACATTTCTGTTATTTTATAAGGAGGCAAAGGGCAAAACAGCATGCGCAAAGCTAATGAGAGTAACATACGTTGTATATTTTTTTTGTTTATCAATTTCAAGTGTTGTACGTTGTACCGTTAAGTTCTTAAATAGTTAAGATAAGAACGCAGAACGATAAGATAAGCCTTTTAAAATTAATTTCAATAAAAAATGGTTATAAATGTCTTTTTTTATAAATAATTTTTGTTTTTTACTTTTTTAAAAATCTGATTTTGATAAATGGAATAATGTTGCCTCTCGGAAGAAGAAAATAATTGGATCTATAAACGGTATCTACAAACAAGAGAATGATTACAATTTTTGAAGGAGAGAACGAATATTTGCATAATATGATAGAGAAGACTGAAGAGGCGATTGTAACATCCGTTTTATATGTTATGAAGCGTACGTGATATCCTCGGTATTCACAGAAGCGATTCAATGGCTTGAGGTGAATCGCTCCTCTCGTTCAAAGATCACTTCATTGTCACGTTTCCTTTGCGTGGAAATACTTTGACAAGGAGTCGCTTAACGACGATTGGCAGGGTCGCTTTGTGAGTCCCTAAGTTTAAATCTGACAGGTCAAGAGGGCTAATGACTCTTAACAGAAATAATATCTGTAACATTCATGCGATACCACTCCGTGAATTTATCACCATAATGTATCAAATTGAACATAACGTATCTCGACATGATAGAGAATATTTATGCATATTTACACACATTTATTATATTCAATCTGCTTTTATAAACGATTATTTTTATATGTGTCCCGTTTTATCAACTCATTTATTTATAATTTTTTTTTGCCCACAAAGGTAACTATTCAGAAATGATGCTCCACTAGAAACCGTGAATTTTTTTTTAGTAATTATCAAAACAAAAAGACATGTATATAATGTTTTAAAATAGAGCTTATGATTCTTATGCGAAAAAATCTATTTCAAAAACAAATATAAAACAGTTTTATTTTTTTATTGAAACGTTAATGTAAATTCTCTTAGTTTTCTACATTATCATCGACATTAGCCACTTTGCCCCCTGCCTAGGAACGAACGACTTTCCACGCGAAAGTCGAATTCCTCGTGACAAAGAAATGGACCGTAAACCTCGCTTCGCGTGGGATGTTGTGCGTCCTTAGGTAGGAGGAGAACGTATAGGATACTTTTTAATATGGTAACAGAAATAAGACGTTGTTTAAAATTTCTTTTTGTTATAAATAACGAGTTCCTAATATCTTTTGAAGATCACTCAAGGTTATAACCTTGACAATATACATCAAGATCAAGGCAATCCGGACGGTCTTTCTTATATTGCGTAATTATACCATAACATTATTTGAAAATTTTGACAATTTAGTAGTATACGTTATAATTAATTATATAATTGAGTTTATTAATTAAATAAATCATGAAAGAAAAAATGAAAAAAAGTTGTAATAAAATAATATAAATATTGATATTTTTGAAATATAGACACTTACATATATATGTATTACATGTAGATATGTGCACTTTTAAATTTAGTTTCATTTTTTCATATTTTGTTCATATGTGACAAAGTTCGACATATTTTTTTGTATTTTATAATTTTACGAAATAAAAATAAATTGCTATTTTTAAAATAGAGAAAAATAAAAATTGTAAATACTTAACATCGTCAAAAATTTAATTTTCGTGACAATTGGTGTAGATAATAAAATTCGCAAGATCGTTCAATACGTT